AGCATACGGTTGAAGCTGCAAACACCTTATCATGTTGTTTATCATCACACATTAATAATTATTCATCTAAAGGCAGGTCAGTGTGTTTATGTGTATTACACTGGAAACTTACATACGCATAAATAAACATTAATACATCATGCTTCTCCAGTTGCATAGTGTCTAATATACAGTTATGTTCTAAACATAGATATTTGCTTTAGATGTTGCCTACACTGTTGTCTATTGGAAGGAATGGGTCAACAGAGTCGCCAATTTTGTACAGGGTTGCACTCCTTTGAAATAAATGTGAGACCAAGGTGCTGAGGACTGGCCATCCAGAGCCATAGATATATATACATATGTATATATCTATGATCGGGAATTTTCCCGGTGGTCATCACGCACATAATTTTTTTTAATTATGAAAATTTTAATTTTCATCAGTTTTTCACATCAATCCATAAGTGATTTCACGGACAAAGAGCGTGTGTTTGTGTGCATTGAAATGTATTATCCTCCCTCCCTGTTAAATTTGATTTAATCATTGTCCTGAAGCACACCCCTTCTCCTGCTTTCACTTCTAATTCTAACAGAGGGAGCGATTCGTTTGTGAATGAATCTCCGTTATGAACTATTCGTTTGAACCATCGATATCCCTGCATCTTAATGTACATATCTACCTTTCTGATCTATATAGCATATTACATTTGTAATATTCAATAATTTAGGGTGGACAGTTTGCACATTGGGGCGCAGGCATTGTTATCTTATCAGGCACCCTAATAAGTTACTTTAAAAACTAGCCAATACTTTACTTAGCAGCAATAGTACAAGTTTCTGGCACCGCAGCGTCTTGTCATATTTCATTTACATTGTTTGGTAATTTTATTAAATAAAACTAGCATAAGCCTAGAATTTAGTGCAGGTTGATGTTAATTTGCCTTAAAAAGTCTGTTACATACAAAATTGTAAAAAACTAAACCTGTACGAAGAGCAAAAGTCCAGCATCTTTAGATTGGCTTTAGTCTTAACTAGTGCAGTTCTATGACATTTGTTCTGGGAGCACTGTACAAATGTGGCGGCGGTATTGAAGCATGCTCGTATGCGATATCTATGTGTTCCAAAGACTTTTTTTTGAAGAAAAACATTCCATGGATGTGAAAGATTCTTTATGGAACCCTCAATACCAGTGAAAATCATTTATTTATTTTCATGAGTGTGAACCAGTGAAGCAAAATAAAGGTAAGAAGCAATCATTTATTTCAGTTTTCCTCTTTTCTCTGCATATTTATAAATTGGCAGTGTGGCTGAACAATTGCATTTAATCATCATATACCTGAGATGAGGAACAGTTAATTTACACAGCATATTTAGAATATGTAAAAGTGTTTGTTTAAAGGCATGATTCACATATAATGAATGAATTACTTAATGTATTAACAGTACAACTGCAACAACAACAACAACACAAGACATCCTGAAATTCAAGAATATTTAAGGCTAAACATTGGCACAATTTTCTCAATTCTTATATTTCTATTCTCAAAAGAACACATGTATGCAATGTCATTTTCATTAAATATCAGCAGGTATTTGATCCCTGGCTTCAGAAATATGATGTGTTCATGGACTTAGAATTTTAATCCATGATATGAACCAAAACAGTAATTAGCAGAGTCACACTAACCCAAGGGATCAAATAGGCTGCAGGCAAAGGCTCAACCTCAAGGGGGCTCTGTAAATAAGAGATAGCATAATAATTAAACGAGGATTTTGATTTGTATAGTTTCATATTTGTTATCAACAAATAGCAAAGTGGCTCCACAGCTCAAAAGTGCTTTCCCCAGTGTTGACACTGCACTTAGAATTAATCACTGTCTCTGACTCACAAATTCCCAAACGCCATCAGATAGAGAGATAATTTCTGAAGCTGGGGCTTCTAAAAAATAATTTGACAACTTCAGTGGATGGAAGCACATTGAGCTGTCTGCCAGAGATTTAAACTGAACATGACCTTCTGTGCCGAGTTGACTTCATTAGGGACTTGCTTTTAAGAAGAACAAGGAAGGGGGCTTTTCAATATCAGCGAGTGACATTTCAGTCAATTTAAGTGTCTGCTTGATTCGTTATGATGTTGTAAATACATATTCACTGATTAACATTCATACTTAAGGGCATTTAAGTGCTTGTCCAGATGTTACATGCTCTTCATTTGGCCAATTGGCCAGTTCTGGCATATTTGTTGTGAAGCGTGGGTCTTCTGACAAAGTATGCAAATCACCAATTTCAGGGATACTAACTCTTTAAATGACCACATGGTTTCGATCTTGACAAACCTGAGAGGCTATAGTGAGGTTCAAGGCTTGGCACTTTTTGGGGCACCAGGTTTCATCTGGTTGGCCAGCTTGAATCTCCTCACTACCCTTCTAGCAAACAGTTGTCATGCACAGGGCATGGCTGAAGCTATGGAGGAAAAAGGCCCCGGTCATGTGATCCTGTGGTTCGGGACGAATGTAACTTTCCAGGAAGATAAAATCACAGTTGCAGAGACTGAGTACAAGGTCTCTGTAGGTTCCCAGAAAAGTCACTGAATTAATCACTGAATCTGACTCGCAAATTCCCAAATGCCATCAGATAGAGAGATCATTTCTGTTCAAGAAAGTTGGGGCTTCTAAAAAATAATTTGACGACTTTAGTGGAATGGAAGCACATTGAGCTGTCTGCCAGAGATTTAAACTGAACACGACCTTCTGTGCCGAGTTGATTTTAGTAGAGACTTGACTTTAACAAGGCTTTTCAATAGCAGCGAGTGTCATTTCATTCAATGTAGGTGTCTGCTTGATTCTTGATGATGTCCTAAGGACATATTCACTGATTAACATTCATACTTAAGGCTATTTAAGTGCTTGTCCAGATGATACACGCTCTTCATTTGGCCAATTGGCCAGTTCTGGCATGCTTGTCATAAAGCGTAGGTCTTTTGACAAAGTAAGCAACTTACCAATTTCTGGGATACGATCTGTTTTAATGGCCACATAGTTTTGATCTTGACAAGCCTGAGAGGATATAGTGAGGTTTGAGGCTTAGCACTTTTTGGGGGACCAGGTTTCATCTAGTTGGCCTGCTTGAATCTTCTCACTACCCTATTGACAGACAGGTGTCCTGCACAGGGCATGGCTGAAGCTATGGTGGAGAAATGATCCAGTCATTTGATTCTGTGGTTCGGGACGAATATAACTTTCCAGGAAGCTGAAATCACAGTTGCAGAGATTAAGTAGAAGGTCTCGGTAGGCTCCCAGAAGAGTCACTGAATTAATTACTAACTCTGACTAGCAAATTCCCAAATGCCATCAGATAGAGAGATAATTTCTGAAGCTGGGGCTTCTAAAAAATAATTTGACAACTTCAGTGAATGGAAGCACATTGAGCTGTCTGCCAGAGATTTAAACTGAACACAAACTTCTGTGTTGAGTTGATTTCATTAGATACTTGACTTTAACAAGGAAGGGGGCTTTTCAAAAGCAGCGAGTGACATTTCAGTCAATTTAGGTGTCTGCTTGATTCGTTATGATGTTGTAAGGACATATTGACTGATTAACATTCATACTTAAGGCCATTTAAGTGCTTGTCCAGATAATACATGCTCTTCATTTGGTCAGTTGGCCAGTTCTGGCATGTTTGTCATGGGCAAGCGTGCTGTGCTTTTGTAGCTAGTGAGTCTTTGGTCACATCAATGCACATTTACAGGCTAAAAATGGTGGTCATGAATGTTTAATTGCAAATGATTACAAATTGCAAAGATGTTTAAAGGAAAATCCCCCCCCCAAGAAAAAAGAATTCCTCTCATCATTTGTTTTTTCTTAAGTCATTCCAAAGGGTATGACTTTAATTTTTTCTGTGAAAGCCAATATACTTTGAGGAATGATGGAAATCAACATTTTTTGACTTTTTTGATTGAGAATGCAAACCAGTTCTTGAAGGGTCCCGTCTCGCGTGCCAAAGGTCAGAGTTTAGCTCCAACCCTAATTAAACACAGCATCGCTTTAATGTATATTCAACTGCAAAAGAATGTAGATGGGCTGGTTTGACAAAGAATTTTTCAACATTTCTGCACCTGAGGACATCTGAGGACATTCCTAGTGATGACAATTGTTTCATCAAGGACAGTGCGTGAACTGTCGTGAAACAAGAATGACAAAAGTATACTCTGGGCTTGATACTTACTAGAAACATCCGGCCAAGTGAGTGTCAGTTAAACTCTAAAGGATTGGGATTGTATATACCTGTTTTAAGCAAAAGTAACCAAGCATTATAATCATGACCATATTATTTTTCTAAGTATTCCCCAAAGTAGCATCCATAATATTGTTTTTCTAAAGCCTTGATACCTGATTTGCAAGTGATAAAAACAAAGTGAAAATATAAAAAGCTATTAACACAATGTCATGTAACAAATATATTTTGTTGAGACTTCTGCTTAATTGAATGTATATGTAAAGCCTCCAGTTCTGCACAAGCCACTTAGTGTGGAGTTAAAACGGGTCATTCCAGCATGGGAGACATAAAAGAACGCTTCAGACCACTGCCTCTAACATTTACTGAGTTTGCATTTGTGACGTTTACTTTGTCACATTAGCTGACCTCTGTTACAATAATCACCTAAACTCCCATTCAAGTCACGGCACCAATGACACCTCCCAAATTATTTATCAACCCATTGTAGGCAGGATTTGATCTGGAGTGAGGTTTACTTGCATAGCTCTCACTAGCTGTCATCCATTTTACCTGTCTCTTAAACCTCACTTTATCTGGGTCACGGCACCAATGCAATGCTACAGACTCAAGGACACACCCTCTAGTATCTTTTACTGGAGTGCCTCTTGAGATCAGGGGAGTAACGTTTACTCACACAGCTCTCACTAGCTGGCCTCCAATACATTTACACTGAATGCAGTGTAAGTTGCTTTGGATAAATGTGTCTTCCAGCTGAATTAGTGGTTCACTTAAAAGTTACTTCACTACACACTTGTCTCCATTAGACTTTTTGTTATATTCCTCAGTTCATCTACAGACTGGACAAGTTTATAGCCAAGTAGGGCAAGAGTTCTGTTACACAGAGACTGAACAGTCTTAACAATGTCAAAGTTTAGATGCACTCTCCAGCTCTGTGCTGTAGCTTTAGAGTCTCTTGTGGTGGAGTACTTATAGTTCCACTCTGAAGAAGATGGGACACTGCTATTGGTGTTATCAACAATCCATTTGAGGACTCTTTGATGTAGGTCAAGGCCTAGAAATCTGTATATCTCCTTTGCCTTTTCTTCAGGATTCAAGGCCAGGTCTTCATATCGCACCAATAGATACCTCCCTCTCAGCCATGTTGGTTTCAGGAGGCCGGTTTCCACAGAATACTCGATATCTTTGCAGGTTCTTGTTATTTGTGTCAGGTCCACATACCGTGGTTGACGCCCAGTGGCGTTCCAGATCTTCCAAGCCCTGAATTTGCTGGCAAAAGCAGTCATTCGGGAAGCAAGAATGGCACGGGGGTCTCTCACCAAATGGATGATACGCAAATCTAAACGTGGGTCTTCTGACAGAGTACGTAAGTCACCAATTTCTGGGATACGAACCGTTTTAATGGCCACATGGTTTCGATCTTGACAAGCTTGAGAGGCTATGGTGAGGTTCAAGGCTTGACACTTTTTAGGGCACCAGGTTTCATCTGGCTGGCCTGCTTGAATCTCCTCACTACCCTCCGGGCAGACAGGTGTCATGCACAGGGCATGGCTGGAGCTACGGCGGAAAAAGGCCCCGGTCATGTGATCCTGTGGTTCGGGACGAATGTAACTTTCCAGGAAGCTGAAATCACAGTTGTAGAGATTGAGTAGAAGGTCTCGGTAGGCTCCCAGAAGAGCTCTACCATCCAGAGCCCTTTGCAGGCGGCTACTAGAATTGGTGAAAGCCTGCTGCACGTGATAAAGAGGCTCAAAAAGGTAAAATATGCCTGGATGTTGATTAAAAAGCTGTCCAGTAAATGAGGAGCCACTGCGGGTTTGTGCAAACAGAAGGATGTGCTTCCGAGCTGCAGCACCACTAGTTTCTGCAAGGACACGGCTGTCATCGCACAGAGATTTCCATCTTTGCTCTGGGGAAGAGAAGTAGAGAAATTGAGATAATACGGCACTCTGAAACCACAGAGGACATTATAAGGCCACAGAAGACCCAATTAGTTCAGCTTCATCTTTAATCAATCAGTTATTTGGGTAAGAAATACCTGGAGCTTCAGTTAGGGGGGGGAAAACAGAGTACAATCTTAACTAACTCTTTATTAAAGTCCAACACAATTCAGAAACCTTTTCTCCCTGCTGAGAGGGAATGTGCAGCAACAATAGTGCTATTTTGAAGATCTGGATTGCTTCCTCTTGTGGTGGTAATCATTTCACCGTTTTGGGGAAATACATAAAACTGAAAAATGAACAATCCACATACTGCACATACAAAAAAAGATTATGGGACTTTCGCTCAAAATGAACAATTACTATATATAGCAGGAGGGTGGGAGAGACTGATAACGCTTGTAATTACGGCTGATGAAAGACTGATTGCGCGTGGCACATTAGGTTGTGCGAGTCGACGCTTGCTGGAAGTGCAAACAGCTGGTCCTTGAGGACATAATACAGCAGATTAATGATGAGATAATTGTAGAATTAATTATTGATATTCCATCACTCGTTCCTTTGCAGCGGATGATGGGGGAATTTCTGGGTTGCATTTCTACAGGTTCTCTTTTCATTTCTTTCCATACAAACTCGCTTATTAAAGAAGTGATGACCTGAGAGTGATAAGCCTATAGAGATAATGTCATTTAGATCCTCCAGAATTTTCTTGTCAAAAAAAAAAAAAAAGAAAAACAGCTAAAGCTACATCCATAACCAAACATGAATTATAATTAAATTTGAGTCTCTATGCAAACTATAATTTAATGGAGGGCTTAAACTGTGCATAAAAATGCAGCCTGGCATATGGACTTGAATGCAGATGAAACTGACTGCACATCAATAGATTGGTTATTGCTGCTATACAGAATTGGGGCTCTAAAAATGCTGTAAAGTTTAGGGAAGAAACTACACTACCTGACAAAATCTTGTCGTTAATTTCAGTTGTAAGGGCAACAATAACTGGATTTCTGGTTGATCATTTGGAAAAGTGGAAGATGGTAGATTTTTTCGATGAATCATCTGTTGAGCTGCGTCCCAATCATCTCAAATACTGCAGAAGACCCACATGGGCCCAGGATTCTCGCAGAAATCAGTCGTTTGGTGAAGGAAAAATCGTGGTTTGGGGTTACATTCTGTATGGAGGTGTGCAAGGGATCTGCAGAGTGGATGGCAACATCAACAGCCTGAGGTATCAAGACATTTGCGCTGCCCATTACAGTACAAACCACAGTAGAGGACAAATTCTTAAGCAGGATAGCGCTCCTTCTCATACTTCAGCCTCCACATCAAAGTTTCTAAAAGCAAAGAAAGTCAAGGTGCTCCAGGATTGGCCAGCCCATTCACCAGACATGAACATTACTGAGCATGTTTGGGGTAAAAATAAAGGAGGAGGCATTGAAGATGAATCTAAATGTTCTTGATGAACTGGATGAGTCCTGCATGAAAGCTTTCTTTGTCATTCCAGATGACTTTATTAATCAGTTATTTGAGTCATTGCAGAGATGTATGGATGCAGTCTTCCAAGCTCATGGGAGTCATACACAATATTAATTCTGTTTCCACTGCACCATGACTTTATATTCTATACTTTACATTATAAGTGACAAGTCTTTTGTCTCAGCAAAGTCAGACCTTACTGTCCTAATTAAATAATTAAAAATCAAGGCATGATTACATTTTATTTTGGTAAAATAAACATAACCGAGAGGCCTTTGCCTTTCATATAAGCCACTTGTGATACCAAATCATCAACTAGAAGTCAAGTTATTATTTTTTGTTCCTAAAACTTGGATAGGCGACAAGACTTTCGTCAGGTAGTGTATATTTAAAGGCTGCAAAGTTTTATTCACACTAAAGATTATAACTATGACATTAACAGTAATGTTTTATAAAACATTCTATAAAAGAAAAGCAACCCCACCACAACTCTAACAGCACGTATGAAGAATATTGTTGGAATATTTCTGGATTGTTAGACCATTTTTTCCCATCCTGTAGACCTTGAGCATTTAAAGCAACTTACAACAAAACAGCATCACTTGTAATAAACAGAGCATCACTGTCCTTGCAGTAGCTCATCTTTACAGTTACCGTTATAGTTTGGATTCTGAAGGTAAACACAAGACTCTAACCAACTAGTCTTCTAACCAAATCTCACTGCTTTATTTATTTAATTTCAATTTACTGTACAATACTTATTTTTCGATCGTATCATTCATTCATTATCTTTTCGGCTTATTCCCTTTATTAATCGGGGGTCGCCACAGCAGAATGAACTTATCCAGCATATGTTTTACACAGCGGATACCCTTCCAGCTGCAACCCAACACTGGGAAACACCCATATACTCTTGCATTCACATACATACACTACGGTCAATTTAGCTTATTCAATTCACCTATATCCCCATGTCTTTGGACTGTGGGGGAAAGCGGAGCACCTAGATTAAACCCACGCGAATATGGGGAGAACATGCAAACTCCAGACAGAAATGCCAACTGACTCAGCCGGGTTTCGAACCAGCAACCTTCTTGCTGTGAGGCGATCATGCTACCCACTGCAGCACTGTGACACCCCTTTTTTAGATTGTAGATTGTTGAGTGAGGTGTAATAAAAACAGTGACTTGCTGGTGTGGTGCGACATTGCTCCCAGATCTAAATTAAAGGAATTATCATTCTCAGGCTCGTAGCCAGAGGGGTTCAGGTGGTTCAAAATTCCAAAACTGGTCCCATACATGAGCTTATTTGTCCAGTTTTGATTGCTATACCATAATAATTGTGAAAATAACCCATCGAAAAAGACTTTAACATCAAGCAGAACCCTCTGTTTGCTGTCACTTCGGTGTGACTTCAGCTAATCAGTTTTAGCCAATGCAAAAATTATTTTTCATGAGTCCAATAAGCAGCTGTTGAACATCCAACAAGCTTAACTAGCTAAAATAGTGCTTAAGTGTTATAATTAAATAGAAAATGAAGCGAATAATTGTAAAAAGGTCCACTTTTTGAAAAAAAAAAAAAAAAAAAAAAAACCCTCGCACGAGCCTGGCTCTGAACATCCTGTATCAAACTGTGAAACCAATTCACTGTAAAATTAAATGAAAAAGACTGGCTTCTTACTGATGCGGTTTGGAACTTGGCCCTAGATGCAAATGAAGACATAACATTGCACTATGCAAAATCTTCTTGTCTTTTGGTCATTTAGTTTCTGCATAGACTTATTTAATGCCCTTGTTATTCAGTTACTTCAGTGCAAAATCAGTGGGCAGAGCTAAAAAGCAGTGGTGTAACTGTGTTTCTCAACCACATTTCTGGAAGACCACCAGCTCTGCACATTTTCCATGTCTCCTTAACCAAACACACAAGATTCAGATAATCAGCTCATTAGCAGAGACTTAAAGACCTTTAATTGGTGTTACAGACAAAGGACAAAACATGCAGTGTTTGTGGACCTCCAGGAACTTGGTTGAGAAACACTGGCATAAAGGAAGGTGTTGATCTCATAAAGCTTAATAAAGAAGCACTTTCCACAACATTTTGGAAGATTAGTTTCCATTTAAAATGAAACTTCCTGGATTTTTTATAGAACAATGGCATCTAATATCTCAAAACATCAAGGGAATTTAGATTTTTCGGTTCATCACTTCTGAAAAACGCTAATTTTCATCTCGAAATGTTCCTTTCTTCCAGTGACAGCTCTGTTCTGATGGAAGCTCACATATTAATTGTTGTAGGATGGTGACTCACCTTTACCCTGATGTACTTGGCAGTGGGTGGAGTCTTGGCAGGGGCCGCTGAAGGAGTCGTGGAGGGAGCGGATAGCGGTGTACTGAACCCCTAATGACGTGCACACGAGCAGCAGCAGAGTCTTCCACGAGCACTCCATACTGCTCCCACACCGTCACATGCTTCGCTCTGTCAACAAGGAAAGCATGCACTCTTATATGCACTGCAAATTTGCACATTTTTTGTCTTGTTTCTAGTGCAAATATCTAAACAATTTTAAATGAAGAAGCATTTTCTAAACAAGCAAAACCATTTTGTTTTAAGATATAATGTATTGAAATTAAGTGAAATGATCTGCCAATGTGGTATGCAGAATAATCTTATGTCAAAAGGAAAAGCAAGATTATATCAGAATAGTTTTAGCATATTATTTCTGAAAAGAAGACAATATTTTTTGCTTGTCTTGAAAATGCTTCTTCATGTAAGAACTTTTGGATATTTGGACTAGAAACAAGACACAAAAATCTAATTAAGAAAGTAGTATTAGATAAGGATTAGGCTTTTCATTAAAAAGGACATCAATTTTAAACTTTTAATTCAAGTACCTTTGGAGAGGTCTGCTTTAACTATAGGTGAAATGTCTGCTTTGCTTTTGAGAGATCATTACACTGAGTGCTTAATTTGAGATGCATTATCATTGTAGATGTTAAAGCGTATATAATGAGATGGGGCTGTATTAAAGATTTTCTCACAATCAAAAAATAGGCTACTTTGCTCTATTACCACACTCTTCCATACTTTAATAATTTTCATACCTTAGGGAATTACCCATTTTTCAGGCTTAAAATAATCTAATTTAAAATATTACAAACAAAAAATATTACAGCTGTTTATTTTACATTAAATATGTAAATATCTATGCATTTTTATTGTGGAAGCTTATTAACATTATGTTATTAACATAATCATTAAACAGACTAATTTGTTTTATTACCACACTTTTCCTTACTTAATTAATTGTGAAATCATTAGCTTAAACCACAAAAATGTATCTATTTTTGTTATTTAGAATAATATGATGTAAGTCGCTTGATTTGTTGATGAAAAAGCTAAAGTATGTTCCTCTTCTTGATCCGTGAGTCTCTGATTTCATTTCTTACATCAGGAAAAATATTGTTAACCAAATTGAAGCATTTTTAATTTGAGATTAAATAAGTCTATACTTGGTCACTAACATTTGTCTCATATTCTGTGCTATTATTGTGGAATAAACAGTAGAATGGGGAAGAATTTATAACATGTGATATGAATTATGTAATCAGACACCAAAAATGTAATCCTTATACAGATTGCATTTTTAAACAATCATAATCAGATTATAGTAGATCCACACAATTTGTGTGAAAATTTTCTAAACAGGATTATTCACAATGTAGAGCGGTCATGTAAAATTAAGTATGATTCAAGATTCTGAATAAAAACAAACCAAAAAAACAAACAAAAAAACAACAACATCAACAGAACAAATTAGCTATAAGTTATTTAAATGCATTTCTAAAGTAGTCAGTATGCATGACCTAAAATACGTAATCCAGAAATCATGTAATTTGTAATACAGTAATTAACAGTCAACTGTTTAACAGCAAGTGAAACTTTGACACTTTTTATATGTTAATCAGTTAATCTTTCTTTCTTTCTAGGGATATCTTAGTCAGCCTAAACAAAAATTATCAAATTTATTTGATTTTTTTCATTTAAAAACAACAACAACAACTTTATTTTCAGCTATAAATAAAATATTGGTCAATTTAATTACACTTATGTATTAAAATAATTAAAACTGAAGTAAAAAAAAAATACAGACACACCTAATACTATTAAAATACCAATAAAAATGACAAAAACAACTCCTTACTGTACAAAGTAGTCAAAATATAAAGTTTGAAAAGTCATTTAAATATATTAAGATATAAAAAAACACATTTATTAGCCGGAATATCAGCAATAACATTTAGGCTTTTTTCAAAGATCTGAAAGCCCAAGACAAATGAGGTATAATCAGTCATCTCAGCCCATCTGCAGTTGTTTCAAAACAGTTCCTCTACCAAATATTGAAGGATACCATCTCCAAGTTAGTCACACATGGCAACCCAAGCTAGTTGGTCTTTTCTCAGCTAAAAATCCACTTCCACATTCAAATTGCTCAGACCTGCTCCAAATCAATGTGTTGCTTGTGCAGTTTTCAGTTCAGAGTTGCTATTAGAAATGCAATATCTGCAGCATGTCCTCTGCCTCTCATCACAGTCTCATTTCTCTTCAAATGCTGAAAAATACCATCTTAAATAATGCAGGGCCTATTTTAGCTGTGATGTATGTTGCCACATGTGTCTCTTGAGCCAGCCTTTAACAACAATTTCATCAATCAGAGGTGGCACAAAATTGCCACTGATGGCCGCAAGTACGATTTCTGCAGTTATGGCCTGAATAAATACGGTCTGTGGTATTGGTAAAAGTACACATGCTGTATATTCTCTTGTGCAGTTCATTTAAATTAACAAGAATCTTTTCAAAGATATGTAGCATGGACGTTTTTCGAATTTCAAATGCATTATTAGAGCTTAAATTTACTGATATAGCAATAGAACGCTCCACACACTCCTTATCAATGAACAGGCATGTCGCTTGCCTCGGGTTCCTCGAACTTTGCATGAAAAGGCTCTTACTGGCTTGGTAATTGAGCATTCAATGAGGTGGTTTCTCTGTGCCTTTTAATAGCTACAACTGCAAGTCTGTATATGATGACACTTGAACACAGATAAATGCTAAAACAGTCATTCAGGAGATACTGTAGATCGATATATGAAGAGTTTAGATGCAAAAACCTCTAAATGCCATTTGAGTTTTTTTTCTAAAATGAGCATTTTTCTTAGACCCCTGTGTGTTTAATAATTTTACTTTAATGGTGATGAATACGTTCTTTTTATTGCCTTTAAAGTAAAATAAATGAACATAAACATAGGAGGCTGAAAACAATGCTCATTTTAAGAAAAATTTTTGTTTTTGGCATCTTCATATATTGGAGTTGCTAATATAATATCGGCATGTCAGCTGCTCACTGTAAAAAACGATAGTGGTTTTTAAGATAAAAAATTTTAGAAAAATCCAAGCAGGCACACAACATCATAAGATGTTAATTTTGAGTTAGATTTAGGTTGTGACATCAGGTGACCAACATTAGCCAGGATAACATTGTTTTGACGTCCAATAACAACATCAAATAATGTTCATATTTGATTGATTTTAGGTTGTGTTGGAAGGTGACCAAAATCCAACATTGAGCGAACATCTTAAACCAATGTCATACTGATGTCAAATACTAACATCTACAGTATACGTCAGGTATGGCAACCAAAATCCAACGTCTGATAGACGTCATATTAATAATGTCCACACAACGTCAAGCTGTAACATGATTAGACGTTGATATTTGGTTGATTTTAGGTTGTGTTGGAAAGAGACCAAAATCCACCGTTGAGCGAACATCTTAAACCAATGTCATACTGATGTCAAATACTAACATTTACAGTGTACATCAGGTATGGCAACCAAAATCCAACATCTAATAGATGTGGTATTGATAATGTCCACACAACGTCAAGCTGTAACATCATTAGACGTTAATATTTGGTTAATTTTAGGTTAGACGTTGGACATTGATGTCGGGCTGGTGTTCGGTCAACCTGATTTTCATTTCCAAACAAAATGTAACGTCCCCACAACGTTGGGGTACAAAGTCAATCTGACATCATGTTGACATCATGTGGCGGCAGGAATGATATGGCAAAAATCTCTAAGCTGATTAACGATAAGTTTCCTTACATTTTTATGCTTTTTGTTGATGTTATTATGGTTGTTATTATGTACATTTGATTTGAATGTTACATCTAATGTTTTACAAAAAATGTTTATTGCATTAATTTCATGTGTGTGCACGATGATGATGTCTTTTTTTTTTTTTGACTGACACTGTGTGCCTGCTATATATCAGTATGTTTCTCTGCTGTGTGGTTTTGTCTGTGTAACAAAAGCCCCTTTTACACATACAGACCTTTCCGGAAAATTACAAGAAATACTAGCATACAGATCTGGTATGTGTTAACAGGCCCTTTTTGAAAATACCAGTAAATTTGTTTTGTCAATTTTCCAGAAAGAGAAGTACCGCTGCACTGTGTGAACGCAGAAGGAAAATTGCTTGACGCGAGACATCTACTTCAGCCAATCATAACACTCACACATATTTACATCCGCACTATGAAAATAAAAGCCTTTGAATATTTTTCCACACACATTTAGCTGCAAGATGTTAGTCAGATAACATCTGATAGTTTCTATGTTCCTTCCTAATGCCAACTGTTAAATTTAATGGCTAATTCGTATTAATTCAATATAAATCCTAAAATTTAGTACGATTTGCTCATCCCACAAATGATGGTTGGGTTTAGGGGCGGGGTTGGGTGCCATGCCTCCTTTTTTAAGTCGTACAACTTTGAACAACTAAACTCGTGAATATGAATTCGTACGATTTAGCCACCAAACTGACAAAACGTAAAATACTTAAGTTTCCTCGTAAGATCAGGCTGGATAAACCACTGTTTGTTTACCTTCAAGCTCTGCTTCCGTTGCTTGACGCGTGTGCACATGAAGCAGCTTATGAGTGCCAGCACAGACACATTATGAACATCTCGACATGTGAAAGTGTTCCTCCATATGTTTGCATCTAAGTTGTCCGCACTACTTATCCATCCACATAATTTGTAATGTAGTCAAATCTGTAAACGTTGAGCTGCGGTTCGCATTTCTGCTTTTGGATGTCTCACAAATCAGCTGCATGAATGCTAAAGCTTTCAATAAAAGTGAAACATCAATAAAAGGCTGACCCCTTCTATGTTTACAAATACAAGCGCAGCCGTTTATTGGTCATTTCTGGTTAATGATGTCAGAATTTAACGGTATTTTGGAATGGATGTGTATAAATGGTCTTTTCCAGAAAAACTACTGAACGTCTGTGTTGTTTGAACAACTTTTTTTATTAATTGACCGGTAAAGTAATTCGGGAAATTTTCCAGATATTTACCAATATCACTGCGTGAAAGGGGCTAA